AGAGAAAGGGATTTTACACAAAGTAGATGTTGCACAAATTGCAGAAACTGCACAAGTAACAACAACACACACATCAGGACCATTTGGTGCAGGAACTTTTAATGCAGGATCTCTTAAGATTTCTTATTCACACTCACAGAAAAAGTGTGCATAAACCCCAAAACATTTTGAAACCCTTAAACATTTTTTTAAAAAATCACAAAATAATCCCTATGTTTATATGTTTTTAACTACCATTTAATTGTCACAAGAGACAATAGTCCTCTCAAGCCTCCTCCAATATGACTGACAACTTGAACCTCTCAGTTACTTTGGCAGTGTTGGTTGAGGAAACACCTTGCACCATTATGGCTAAAGTACAGGCTGTGCTGACAATCTGCCCTGCCACATACTGTCCACTGATGACAAACCATAAAATAATGAGATCAGACACAAGATATTGGGTTAAACCAGGGATAGGCAACCTTTCCCCTTTAAGGGCCAAGGGACTTCAGCTCCCAGAATCCCAGGAGCTATTGGCCAACATGGGACTATTGGCCAACATGGCTGAGGCTTCTGGGAGCTGAAGTCCCTTGGCCCTTTAAGGGGAAAGGTTGCCTACCCCTGGGTTAAACAAAGGCCTCTTTGCTAGACCAAAAACCTATTTAATAAACTGAACTTGGGGATAAGTGATGTGGCAGGGGGAGCAACCTTATGTGGGTGTAGCTGAGGCCAGGTGTCAACCTGTGACCACTTCCTGAGCCTTCCTTCTGGCAAAATCTCTGACCCAGTGTAAGAGTTGACTCATGTATATCATTGCAGGATGGGACCTCTGGTTGCTGGAGTCCTGCTGCCAAAGTCTTTGCAGGACCAAGCCTGAGCTGCCAGAGTCCTGGAAGGATCAGGGCTAAGCCAACAGGCACAGCTGGCTCTACTCATGCAGGGCAGCTAGAGCAGCTGGAAGTACAGCCATTTAAGGGCTACTTTGGCTTCTCAACTCTTGTTATAGCAACACAGTCTTCTGTACTGCTTGTAGTTGCTCTGTTTGTAATTTGCCTTCTTAACTTTGCTGTGTTTAGACCTGGTCTGTTCCTTAACTCTGCCTTTTGCCCATTGGACTCTTGGAACATGGCCTTGCTGTGTTTGGACTGTTTCCTGACTTACCTTCTGCCTCTGAACCATTAGACTCCGAACTAAATGGTCCTGATGTGTTTGTTGTTGTTACTGGTGCAGTTTCTGCAATTTGTGCAACATCTTAATTTGTGCAAAATCCCTTTCTCTGCATTAGACCATTAGTTCATCATCCATGGCCCTGGCTCCAGCAGCCTAACTTGGAATCCAGGCCACCCATGCTTTGGACCCTGACACCAACCAAATATCACTGGTTGCTCCCTGGCTAGACATTTACTGAAAAAGATCTATAAGGACACTCCCCCTAAGTCTGTACACTACAGGAGAGAGCATCTTCCCCATAAGCCCCAAGGGGATGCTATTTCCTTGCCTTCCTGGACCCCATATCTGTGGTGGCAGCTCCAGAGCCCAACTCTTCACCAAAAGGATGCCAAGGTGTACACCTAACTCTAATATTTTCCCCATAACCTGCCAATGACAATCTATTTTACAAAAACCACTCAAGCCAATTGACAATGTCCCCCAGATACAGTATAGGGTTGGCCAAACAAACACACAACTCATTGGAAAAAGCAGAAAATTCCATCCTGGCCCTGAACTACCAGCATAGCTCACATTGCTCCAAAAGAGGCTTGTGAAGGAATGGCAAGGCCATAAAATATATCTTCACCTCCTCACGAGCTACAGCCTAATGCCCTAATGCCAGGCCAATCAAATCTGACCACTGTGCCCTCCCTGAATCATCTGCCAGATGCACAGGTTCAGGCAGGCAATGGTCCTGATGAATCCTCTTTTCCAGCTGCTTTTAAAATGTCACAGCTTCTCTTTCCACTTTACCTCTTTGTCTTCAGCTTACTTCATTTGTTGCAAACTGAGTTCAAAATGTAAGCATCATTTGTAATTATTTAATTCAGGGGGTGCAAAAGCAAAGCAGCTTCATTTATATACC